ATATATATATATATATATATATATATATATATATATATATATATATATATATATATATATATATATATATATATATATATATATGTACCGATGCAGCTGGTATGATGGGATGAGAAATGTCAAGAAAAAAGTCTTTCTTTAGGAATATTTTGGGATAGTTCAGCCAAAAATGAGGATTTACTCACATTTTACTCTTTAAATCTCAAGTTTCAAACCTTTGAATCTCTTCTGCCGAATACAAAAGAAGATATGAAGAAAGCTGAGAACCTGTGATCATTGACTTCCATAGTAGGGAAAAAAAACAAATACTGTAGAAGTCAATGGTTACAGGTTTCCAATGTTCTTCAGAATATCTCTATTTGTGTTCAACAGAAGTAAGAAACTCATAAAGGTTTGAAACCACTAGAGGGAAATTAAATAGTGTGTAATCTTTCATTTTTGGGTGAACTTTTCCTTTAAACAGTGCATTACTATTATTATTATTATTTTTTAATTATTTGTACTGATGCCGCTGCTATGACTTGCTAAGAAACATGAAGACTGACATGTTTAGGGTTGTATTGTAACATGTGTATTGAGAATAATTTACCGATATTTTAATAATTCCCTCATGCAACAGCTGTTAAAGTGATAGTTCACTAAATAAATAAATGACTATTTACTCAATCTCAAGTGTATGCAAACCTTTATGGTTTTCTTTATTTTGTCCAATACAAAAGAAGTTTGTGACTTCCATAGTAGGAAAAATAAATACTATGGTAGTCAATGGTTACAGGTTTCCGGCATAGAAGAAAGAAACTCATAAAGGTTTGAAGCAAGTAAAGGATGATTAATTCATGACAGAATATATTTATTTATGTGTGAACTATCCCTTAAATGTATTATTTAAAATATATATGGGATGAGAAACAGCAAGCCTGGCAATTTTATATTATATTTTAAAATTGTATATCGAGAATAATTTACCAAACATTTCTCAAGTCTTCCTTCATGCAACAGCAGTTAAAGGGATAGTTCACCCCAAGACTAACATTTACTCTGTCAAGTGTTTTCAAACCTTTATGGCTATCTTTACTCTGTCAAAACGAAGATATTTTAGAAAAGCAGAAAACCTGTAACCATCGACTTTCCATAGTAGCAAAAACAAATACTATAGAAGTCAATGGTTACAGATATTTAACATTCTTCAAAATATCTACTTTTTTGTTCAACGGAATAAAGAAGCAAGGTCATAAAGGTTAGAAACAAGTAATTGGTCAGGAAATTATGACTATTTTAATTTTTGTGTGAACTGTCCCTTTTATCATTGTAATATTTCCAAAGATTATTATTTTGATATTCACTCACCCTCAGGTGGTTTCAAACTTTTATGACCTTAGTTTCTTTCATCTATAAACACACACACAAAAAAACCTGTATCCATCGACTTCCTTAGTGTTTGTTTTTCCTACTATGGGAGTCAATGGTTACCGATTTTCAACATTTCTTAAAATATCTTCTTTTGTGTGTTTAAAGAGGAAAGAAAGGTTTTAAATGACTAAAGCACCAGTAAATGTTGACAATTGTCATTTTTGGCTGAACTATCCCTTTAGTCAACGTATTAGTTTCAAAAATACATTGCTGCAGTTTCTTTCACAAAACTTGTTGGCCTCTTTGTCAAACTTTAAGATGTAACAAACTCTTAAAATAGCCGTAATCGTGTCATTTCATGTGTTTCTCCTCTTGGCTACTGTTCTGTGACTGATCTTACATTTTATTCAAGGAGATTTACCTCGTCTTAATTAGGACCAGACCAATAACAAAACCTCAGGAGACAAGACAAATACAATGGGAGTCAATGGTTACAGGTTTCCGACATTCTTCAAAATATCTTCTTTTGTGTGTTTAATAAAAGAAAGAAACTTATAAAGCTTTGGAACCACTTGAAGGTGAATAAATAATCAGGTAATTTGCATTTTGGGCTGAATAATGCCTTTAAATGATGTTTTTATTATTATTATTATTATTTGTACTGATGCCGCTGGTATTATTTAATAAGAAACAACAAGACTGGCAAATTTATGCCCCATTTACTCACCCTCAGGTGCTTTCAAACCTTTGAGTATCATTCATTCCATTGTGTTTGTTTTTCCTACTTTGGAAGTCAATGGTTACCGATTTTCAACATTTCTCAAAATATTTTCTTTTGAGTGTTAAATAGAGAAAGGTCAAGTAAATCGTGGCTGAATTGGCTGAACTTTCCCTTTGATCAACATATTAGTTTCAAAAATATGTTGCTGCAGTTTCTTTCACAAAACTTGTTGGCCTCTTTGTCAAACTTAAAATTTTAACAAACTCTTAAAATAGCCGTAATCACTTCATGTGTTTCTCCTCTTGGCTACTGTTCTGTGACTGATCTTTTTACATTTTATTTAAGGAGATTTGCCTCGTCGTTATTAGGACCAAACCAATAACAAAAGCCCAGACAGATATTGCTTTGAACCAAAGGTTATTTTCGTCCAGCGCCGGAGTGCAATCAGAAATCTGGCAGGGCAGAATATGACCTGCTCTTTGTGTGTGTGTGTCTGTGTGTGTGTGTGTGTGTGTGTGTGTGTTTTTTTTTTTTTACTAATTCTAAAACCGTCGCTGAGTTTCCATGGTGCTTTCTCACTAGCAGAAAAGCAGGGGGCAGACTTTGACCTCCCAATTTGCTACGCGCTAATAATTTCATCCAAAAACAGGCCACAGTGCGGTGGCCGGCGACTCTCCGGATCTCCGTTTATGCTTTATCTGTGCACTAGTGTTCCTAAAAGCACACTCATCTGGGCTAATGGCCAACAGATGCAGTTCATCAGAAGTCTCCACAGTTAATCACTTCAGACATCGGACATATTTTCCATGCGTTCTGTACATCTACGGCTTGAGCATGCTGCAGCACTGATACTTTAGTACGGGATTATTATCGCAAAGAGGATTTGCCATTCACTCTAGGCAAACTCAAGGGACTAAAAGCAGTTCTTGCTGTAATCGACATTTCACACACACACACACACACACACTCTATGTATGTATATGTGAAAATGCAAGGTACTACAACATTATATGTGTGTGTAATTTCTGTCTGTGTGTGTTTTCTAGGGCCAGAAAGTTTGGATTGAGAAAACCTTTCACAAAAGAGAATGCAATCACATATTTCCAGCCAAGGACCCGACCCGGTGAGCATTTTTCTATTTTCAACACTCGTTTAGCGCATATAAAGACTCCATTGTGGCTAAATTACCTCTATGAATCTGTTTTTTGAGGCGTTTTGGGCTGTTATGTAATGAGGGGTGATGTGTGACATCATGAGCCCTGTTGCAGAGCGCTGTGTGGGCAAAGCTTCAGGGCAAGATGCGAGTCTAGTTTACTGCACTGCCTGTAGGGTTGCCAGGTTGTGCACTGATGCGTGCACCAATTGAACGCTCCCCCAATAGCTGGCCTGCACTGCAGTGATTTTACAGTTATTTACCGCAAAAACACCTGGTAATATACCACATACATTCTTTAGTTCGCTACTGTGATATGCTCTGCATTGTGGGTAAAACTTTTACAGTACCTTACTGCATGTGCCGTATTCTACTGGATTCAAAGTAATCAAGCACTGTGATTTTTGTATCACAAAATGCATTTAAAATAGGTTGATGGTATGGATAATATGGATATAATAATAATAATACAAATACTGTTATACATGATTTGCACTGCTATAGTGTAAAATGTTAAGAAATTACAGTAAAATACTGTAAAAATGGTCATACTGAAAAAGTAAAGGGCATTTTACTCTAATAAGAAGTTGCGGTAAGGCTATTTTACTGTAAAAATTAAATTACGGTAGGGCCGTGCTACTGTAGAAACGCATTTACAACTAAAGCCACCTTTCCACTGCACACGACATTTGGACACGTCTGTCGGATTACGCCCCCTTGTGGCAGTCGCACAGAATTTTCAGTGTTGCCGTGCACTGTGGCAGAGAAGTAGTTCTCGTACGAAATGGAGTGCCATAGCAAGAGTCATTATTCTCTGTGCGTTTACCGTGGTTGGTTGAATGAATGAATGAATGAATACTAGAAACTCATAGACCGCTAAAAATATTGGAGGGAATGTAGAGACAGCGTAAAAAATATATACATATATTTTTATTACTTTTTACTATTTTTTTTTTTTTTTTTTAAGATTTATTTTCGGCCTTTTTGCCTTTATTATCAGATAGGACAGTATTGAGGCAGGAAGCAAAGTGGGAGAGAGAGAGGGGGTAGGGAAATGTCGTCGAGCCGGGATTCGTTCTCGCGACGCCCTGACGTGCTATTGCACCATCTGTTGGCGCGCTAACCACTAGGCTATTGCGCCGACTACCTTTTACATTTTATCTATATTTTGTTAATAGACTTTTTCTAATTCCAAAAATAACCAAAAAAAAAAAAAAAAGAGTATTTCTCATCTCGCGCGCACGGACCTGCCTGTACAACACTGGAATACATCACATCCGGTCGGGCTGGTCGCATACGGTCTACTCGCAGGATATATTTCAACGGATCCGCAGCTCAGTTCGGATCAAAAGTTCCCGCATACGGAGGTGATCGAAACTCATGCAGCTCCCGGACGACTCTCTATTGAGAATGAATGACTTCCGGTCTGCCGCTTGTCGTGTGCAATGGAAAGGAATGTGAAGGGGCAGTTGCAACAGTAAGTTACCGCAAAAATACCATGAAATGTCTAGCAGACTACAGTATTGTGAGTAAACTCTTTACAGTAACTTACTGCATGTGCCGTATTCCCCTGTGATCAAAGTAATCAAGTATTGCTCCTGTAGCTGAAGGCAAAATATGAGGCCGTTACTGTAAAATGTATTCGTATTATAAAATGCGTTTAAAATAGGTTGATTATATGGATAATATGGATATAATAATAATAATACTACAAATACTGTTATACATGATTTGCACTGCTATAGTGTATAATGTTAAGAAATTACAGTAAAATACTGTAAAAATGGTCATACTGAAAAAGTAAAGGGCATTTTACCTAAAAAAAGAAGTTACGGTAAGGCTATTTTACTGTAAAATGAAATTGCGGTAGGGCCCTGCTACTGTAATAACACATTTACAGGTAAATTATTGTAAAGGGGTGGTTGCAACAGTGCTGCCAGTAATGTACCGCAAAAATACAACGAAATATCTATCAGTGTACAGAACACTGTAAAAAGCGTTAGTTACTTTAAAGCAGGACAAGATGCGAGTCTAGTGTAGCCTAGTTCAGTGTTTCCCAAGTCTGTTCCTGGAGTCCACGTTTTCCAGCTCTCCCTAATCAAACACACCTGAATCAACTCATCAAAACATCAGAAGAGACTCCAAAAGCTGAAGTGAACGGGTCAGATAAGGGAGACACCCAAAATATGTGCTGTTGGTGTGCCTCCAGGAACAGGGTTGGGAAACAGTGGTCTAGTTCACTGCACTGCCTTCGGTGTAGGGTTGCCAGGTTGTGCACTGATGCGTACACTGATTAAACACCCTACCAATTGGTGGCCTTCACTGTTAGACTTTGCAGCAATTTTACAGTTATTTACCACAAAAACGCCCTGTAATCTACCACATATGTTCTTTACAGTTCACTACTCTGATATGCACTGCATTGTGGGTCATTTTAAAACATTTACAGTAACTTGCTGCATACTAGGAGATTGTGGTATTCTACTGTAATCACGTTGAAGGTAAAAATGAGACAGGTAATTAATATTTTGCATCACAACATGTAAAATTAAAGGGTATTTACTTTAAAAAGAGGTTGCGGTAAGGCTATTTTACTGTAAAAAATTAAGGTAAGTTAGTGTAAAGGGGTGGTTGCAACAGTGCTGCCAATAAGTTACCAAAAAAATAAAATGAAATGTCTAACAGTGTACAAAGCGATTAGCTACTTTAAAGCAAGGATTCTCAAACTCGGTCCAGGAGGGCCGGTGTCCTGCACACCTGCCTCAGCACACCTGCAAGGATGTTTTTAGGAAGCCTAGTAAGAGCTTGATTCGCTAGCCTAGGTGTGTCTGATTGGACACTAAAATCAGCAGGACACCGGACCTCCAGGACTGAGACCTGCTTTGAAGCAACATGTTGATTTGACTTAAAGTCAGTAAATTATTGACTTACCTTTTATAATTATAGTTTGTTTATTTAATAATTATAATGCAACAAGTTTATGCTTTTTTTTTCATTTTTTACGCTTTTTACAGTGTAAATGCATAGAAAGAATAGAGATTTCTCTTTATTTTTATGCATTTATATCACATTGAAAAAAATACTTGATGGATGTGTCCAAGATGTGCATAAATTTTGAAAATGCACATTAATAAGTAGGATAAACTTTTTATTTGATAAGTCAAAATTAACATAATATATGATTTAAACACATTTATCAAATAAAGTCATGCGTGGGCATCAAAAAAGTTTTCATCATGTGATGATGAAAATAAGTGTGATGGACAGTACAAAACAGCATTTCCAGCACATTTTAAATCATCTGAAATGTTGTTTTGGTTATTTCTATGATCCCTCAGCTAAAGTCTATCATCACAGTGGTTCAGTATTATATATTGTTATATATTATTACCTCCAGAACTGTCTTGAGTATCTGCGCTCCCAAAGAGCATCTCACGCCTCCGAAAGCCACCAAACTTTCATTATATTTCATCTTCAGAGGTGTTGGTAATTTATTATATGAGAAAAAAGGCCCACCATGGCTTCTCCCACCATAACAAACTCAATGTTTCTGTCTAATTTTTGGCTCCAGTTTATTAAGAAGTGAAGATTTTGTTCTCTTTGGAAATTGTGATATTATTTCCCCTCAGGTGTGCCTGTGGGTATCTAGTGGCTCAACACACAGCCGTCGCCAACAAGCCCTCAGAGGAGAATCAGCTTGTTCAAGTGGAGCCGCCGCAGGAGAAATGGTCGGTGGTCCGACATACCCAGCTCACCCCGACCGACGCGTACGGCATCATTGAGTTTCAGGGAGGAGGATTCATCAACAAAGCCATGGTATCTAATCTAATTTGATCCCCCTTTCAGAGAGTAATAAGAGTAAATATACCAGAAAACACAGTTCAGAACCTGCAATTTGTGGAGTCGTCGCAATGTTTAACTCTAGTTTTATAATATGAAAGGATTTTTTAGGGTGTTTTTTTATGATCAGTGACTAGAATTTTAAGAGAATTTTCAACCATTTGGGAACAGGAAAACTATAGTTTGTCACTTTAATGAAGATTAATTGTGTTTAATTATTTAATACAATAGAATAAAGACTATTCAGTTTTATCTTATATTTGACTATTGAGGTTCTATTATTTAATATTGTCAATATAAGTCCAACTGAAAACCATAAAGTATTCTTTATTTCAAGAGTTCACACTTAGCTGATGATTGATTATAAAGCTTGTTTGGCATGCTGTCCTGGGAGAGAGCCCTGAGCTCATGAGATCCTCGAGTCCTAGGCTTCCTCCAGTTTCCAGGGCTAGAGGGGAGTTTGAGCTCAGGTAGATCTCAATGAACTCCCCTGACTTACTTCTGGCTAATGACAGATATAGGATGGCTAAGGGATGTACTCTTGCTAAGAGCTTAGCTATGGTATCAATTTGGTATGTTCAATTCACTTAAGTTGCGTGTTTTGGACTGTGGGAGGAAACTGGAGAACCCGGGCAAACTCCACACAGAAATGTCAACTGGTTTAGTAGGGACTTTAACCAGAGACATTATTGCTGTAAGGCAACAGTGCTAATCACTGGGCCACTGTGTTGCCCATGTGAAACGAAGGGGGAGTAGGGGTGTGTGTGTGTGTGTGTGGGGGGGGGGGGGTTCTTCAAGGTGAAGATACTGACATAGGAAAACTCTGGTTATTTATAGTGAGTTCGGAATCATCTGATTGGTGAATTAATCGTTAGCTAATGCAGGACCAGCTGTGATCAATCATAATCACGCGATTCTCTCAAAATTGGTTTATGAATAAACTTTTTTTATTTTTTTATGTTTTTGCATAATTTTGTATATTAATGCAGATGCATTTGATGTATAAATCATTCCATTCAGTATAAAATTAGGAATTATTTCCAAATAAAGTCATCTGTCAGAATCTTACACCGGCCCATGCCTACTGCTAGACAAGTTCACTTGGCGAGGAAACAAACAACTTCTTTTAAATCTCCAATTAATCCTCAAATTTCTCTCTCTCCCTCTCTCTCTCTCTCTCTCTCTCTCTCTCTCTCTCTCTCTCTCTCAGTATATCCGGGTGTCTCATGACACTAAGCCGGACAGTTTGCTGCATCTGATGGTGAAGGAATGGCAGCTAGAGTTGCCCACGCTGCTGATTTCGGTCCACGGTGGCCTCCAGAACTTCGACCTGCAGCCCAAACTCAAACAGGTGTTTGGTAAAGGCCTGATCAAGGCTGCGGTGACCACCGGGGCCTGGATCTTCACTGGTGGAGTCAGCACGGGTGGGTATATATCGTGTGAACTACACTGCAAAAATCTTACTTTCAGATTTATTTCGTCTTGTTTCAAGTCCAAATATCTAAAATATATCTAAAAAGAAGCACTTTCTGGACAATAACATACCAATATAAAATAGTTTTTGCTTTCATTAATAAGTTATAAAAATTCATTTCATTTTCTTTTCGGCTTAGTCCCTTAATCAATCAGGGTTCACCACAGCGGAATGAACCGCCTTAATCAGCATATGTTTACGCAGAGGATGCCTTTCCAGCTGCAACCAATCACTGGGAAACACCCATACATTCTCATTCACACACATACACTACGGACAACTTAGCCTACCGAATTCACCTATAGCGCATGTCTTTGGACTTGTGGGGGAAACCGGAGGGGAGGAAAACCACGCAAACACAAGGAGAACATAAGTCATAAATATTAAGTGAGCTTTCCTTAATCTAAAATTCATATTTCAAACAACATTGGTAGATTCTTTTACTGCCATCATTAGCAGAATGTTTTGCTTGTTTACTCACTTGATTTTGACTTGGCTTGTCTAGAAAAAGCTTCTTGAGTTAAGAAAATTTTCAGATAATTGGACTAGAAACAAGACAAAAACTCCAAGTTATAAAAGAGTACACATTCTCGGAGCACTACTGTCCTATAGAGCAGTGTTTCTTAACCATGTTCCTTAGGGATTACTAACACTGCATGTTTTGGATGTCTCCTTTGTCCGTCACACCCATTACAGGTCTTTCAATCTCATGGAGATATGGAAAATGTGAAGGGCTCCGGAAACGTGGTTGAGAAACACTGCTATTGAGTTTAGCTTTTCAGATCAAACATATCTAAAAAAGTCAAATTCTTCAGTTTTGTTGGACAGTGAAGTGAACAGCGGCTCTCTTGAGTTCCCTGGTCTGTAAATATGGTTCCTATCCACACGACTATCGCAACATGCACCAAAACAACAACAAAAAAACAGCAAATCGACATCTAAAATTGGCCCAATACTGGGCAAAGCTTAATCACAATTGATTGCATCCAAAATGAAAGTTTACGTAATATTCATGTTTGTGCATTACATATATTTATTATGTATAAAGTATGCACACTCATACTTCAAATCAAAACTATACAAAATAAAAACATTTACACATAAATTATATACAAATGTAAATGTCTATCACATCAATATTTTATATCTAAATAGAAATCAACTTTAGCTGCGTCCCAAATGGCACACGATGCACGATGCACTCATACACTTTGTACTTATGCACTTACACACTCAACAGCATAGTACATGTATGTAGTGTTGTCCCAAATGGAGCACTGTTTTTTTACTAAGCGGAAATTCAAACCGTTTCCCAGATGACGTTTGACGTTTGCCAAATCAGTGAAATAAACGACCGAATTATCAAATAATACCTGCCGTGAGTATAACCGCATTCACCATCAGGAGGCGCTATAATCACTCTCGCAGGAGAAATTTGCTTTCACCATCCAAAACAAATAAAGTTATCCAACATGTGCGCCCGATAGCTCCGCCCCTTCCGCTACGTGAGCGAACCTGCGGTTGTTGAGTGCGTGAAGTGTCCATCATTACACACTTAGTTTTAGCGGCTGAATGAGTGCATCATCCGGGTAATTAAAGTGCACTTATTATTTTTAGAGTTTTTGGTGTGAACGCACTACTTACTCTATTTATACTACAAAAAGGCGTAGAATAGTGCATAAGTATGCGATTTAGGACGCAGCTATTTTCTCAAACATTATGCATATACACAGTACACACACACACACATATATATATATATATATATATATATATATATAGCCTGCAATTAATCTTTGCCCAGCATTAAAACAAAACACATCAAAAGTCGTTAATAGTGCAGTGCTGTAATCGATTTCTGACGTGTTTTTTGATGCCAGTGTTAGACGTCTATTTGATGTTGTTTTGACATCAAGGTAATTTACATTGTAGAGATACGCACGGATGCATTAAACATTTCTTGTAATACTAAATGTCGTTATTTTGGTGCTCAAATAGACGTCAAGGTTATAACATCAAATATAAAACGTTTGACTTCATTCTTGATGTCGTTTTGACATTTGGATTCACCTTTGTTCTGCTTTTTCCTGTGATTGGTTTCAGATAAGATTTTCAGTCTATCATTTGCTCTTCTCTCAATTTAGGAGTGATTCGGCACGTCGGAGATGCTTTGAAAGACCACTCTTCAAAATCCAGAGGGAAAGTCTGCGCTATAGGAATCGCACCGTGGGGAATCCTGGAGAACAAGGAGGACCTCATTGGAAAAGACGTAAGCTCAGTCTAATGGCATTCAATACATAGCATAAAAATATTCGTCACTTAATTTTGATGGATCGTTTAATCAGGTTTCGACTACATTTTTTAGGTTATACAAAGTTGAACTCAATGTTTTAGTCAGTTTGATTGAAGTAAGTTGAAATTTGATTCAACTAAAATATTTACGTTGGCAATATTTTGTTTTACAATATAACAATACATACTGATTTAACTATTTTATTAGCTAATCAGGTTTCAACTTAATTTTTAAGTTATAAAAACTCAATATTTTCAGTCAGTTTGATTGATGTAAGTTGAGATGACTAGAAAAGTAAATTTGATTAAACTAAAAAAATTATGTTGGCAAGATTTTGTTTTACAATGTAACAACACATTAATTGTACTTATTTTAATAAGCTAATCAGGTTTCAACTCATTTTTTAAGTTGTACAAACTCAGTATTTTCAGTCAGTTTGATTATTATAAGTTGAGATGACTAGAAAAGTTAATTTGATTGATTCAACTAGCCAAATTTAAGTCTGCAAGAATTTTTTTACAGTGCCACAATACATATTAATTTAACTTATTTTAATTATCTGATCTGGTTTCAACTTAATTTTCGTAAGTTATACAAACACAATATTTTGTGTCAGTTTGATTGATGTAAGTTGAGATGACTTGAAAAGTTAATTTGATTCAACTAATAAATTTGAGTCGGCAATAATTTTTGCAGTAACAGTACATACTCATTTGACTTATTTTAATAAGCTAATTAGGTTTAATTTTTAAGTTGTACAATCTCAGTATTTTAGTCAGTTTGTTTAATGTAAGTTGAGATGACTAGATAAGTTAATTTGACTGATTCCACTTAAATTCAAGTCTGCAAGAATTTTTTTGCGCCACAAAACATCAATTTAACTTATTTTAATAAGCTAATCAGGTTTCAACAAAATTAAGTTATACAAACTCAATAATTTTAGTCAGTTTGTTTGTAAGTTTAAATGACTAGTTAATTTAATTTAACTAAAAAATTAAACTTATATATATATATATTTTACAGTGTAACAATAGATGAGAGTCATACTTCTGATGAAATTCACGATGCATTGTTTGCTTTTTTTTCAGGTCAACAAACCATACCAGGCAATCTCCAACCCTCTGAGCAAACTAGCGGTCCTCAACAACAGCCATTCGCACTTCATCCTGTCTGATAACGGCACTTGTGGCAAATACGGAGCCGAGGTCAAGCTACGCAGGCAGCTGGAGAAGCACATCTCGCTCCAGAAGATTAACACTCGTAAGTGCGGCGGCATCAGAGAATCTTATCTGCTTTAGGTCTAATGTACCTCTGATCTCCTAAGAGGACGCATGTGAAAGCTCGCTAAGGGTTTGAACGACACCAGATATATCGAGATTATCAGTAATGGGTGGTAGGGATGTGTAATATGTATCGTTTCAGCATCGATACTATAATGTAGACTGCAAAAATTATCTTTAATTCTGTGTTTTGTGATTGATGTTTTTATTTTTAGACTTTTCACCGTTTATTTATGCTTTTGAATTGCATTATGGGAGCTTGATCTTTGTTCCAATAACTTTTAACTTTGCAGAAGATTAAAAAAGTGACTTTTATGAACATTTTTAATAGTTTAAAGTGATATCTAAGAGCTTGGAATGACCAAGAGGCGACACTCTAGTGTAATTTGGGAAACAGCCACTAGAGGGCGCGGCGCCCATATTGGAATGAAAACTCCAATAGAACAACAGCATACTATAAGTCTGTGAAATAAACTATTGAAAGTGCTGATGATTGTGATAGTAAGTGTTGTATTGTCGTCTTTTAGGTTGTATCTCAGCTTTAATGAGCTTTTTAAATGAATAAATAAAAAACAAAGCAGCAGCTTGCCATCGCAACAGCAGTAAGATCCAATTGACAGCCGATCGCTTTCACTCCAAAATGGCGGAATCCATGCTGGGTTCTGCTGTTGCTGTGGAACGTTCTATTGAGTGTCGCCTCTTGGTCATTCTTCGCTATTCACTATTTTTTTCATGGCAAGGTTGACATTTGCATGCAATTGCTCATATAAATTTTTTTCCAGCATCGTGCAGCATAAGTGTCGTGATCCCGGAGCGATGGAGACGTGCAGCGTGGTTTTGGCGTCTGTGACCTGTGGGTTTCCCTTTGTCATCCTATGCCTAGAGTTTGTGATAAGGCAGGGACAGCAAAGGGAGGCTCAGCCGTCACCACTCACATCGGCTGATCTGGGATCAGACCCCGGAGAGAGACGAATTAATATAATTGTGCTCCCCTCTTCTCTTGACTTTTAAATGCCTCTCGATTTTTAGCAGTATTTTCAATTAGTCCAAATGCAGGCACATTAAACTCGACAGGGCTCTCTGGATTTTATTTTATGCATTTGGAGTAATTGAAAATGAGATTTAAACACACACAAACACATGAACGGCTCAAACATTCAGGCTAATGTTTCGTAATAGTATTATATTGATATGTGCACAATCCCTGTTCTGAGAAGTCCAGAGCGTTTAGGTAAATTAATTGCTTATGTGTGTGTGTGTGTGTGTGTTAGGATTGGGTCAGGGTGTACCGGTGGTGTGTCTGATTGTGGAGGGGGGTCCCAACGTGATCTCCATTGCCCTGGAAAGTCTGCGCGAGGAGCCGCCTGTGCCTGTTGTGGTTTGCGACGGCAGTGGTCGAGCGTCTGACATCATTTCCTTCGCCCACAAATACTCCGAGGTTGAAGGGTGAGTGTTGTCAGCAAATAAATCACGCATTTGCTTTAGACCGAATGCATCTCAATCACTCCGAACTCAAATTACTTGCACTTCATCGCTTTAAAAGTACAAACCACTGTTAATAGACAGACTCAAAACCCTAATATATATAAATCTGATGCATGGCAATATATGCAAATTGCATATGACATTATGGGCCCTATCATACACCTGGCGCAGTGTGGCGCAAGGCGTGGCGCAATAGTCTTTTGGTAGTTTCAGCTTGGCGCAAGAGTGGTTTTGAGGCGTTGCGCTACGCTGTTTAAATAGCAAATGCATTAGCGCTCATATGTGCACCCATAGGCGTTCTGGTCTAAAAAGGAAGGTGTTCTGAGGCGGACCGCTGGTGCGTTGCTATTTTGAGAAACTATAATAGATTTTTCATTAGACCAAAACCAACCCGGTCTAAACCCAGCGCAGAGTTGCGCCTCGCTTACACACTGCTTAATATGCACAAGAGAGCAATAGACAAATATCTTTACATATGAATAAATTAAATATTAAGGATACATATAGGATATAATAAGAATAGATATAGAATATAAATATAAAAGGATTAAAATATTACAAAACATATTATTTTCTAGCCTACATAAATATGAAAAATCACTGCTTTTATGTCTTCATCTCGGGAGGCTTTTTCAGTTCATTCATAACAATTTGCTTTTGTATAATGTTATTATTATTAGCAGTATTATTTATTATATCCATATTTATATTTGTTTTATTAAAAACAAGCTTAGATTTGTCCACCTGTCAGGTTTTAGACCGTATGGGGCACAGCATGTGTTTTAGGATATAACTCAGGTTTTTGAACACACTTCATTATTATTGTTCATTTATTCATTTGCTGGAAATTAGAACTGAATTTAGAAATAGTTTTGAAATGAATATTTGCGCTTAACAAACAAAAGTATTTATTTATAGACTAATTGATGTCTGTGTGTAAAGGTTTCCCTATCCAAGAGCGAAAGTGAAAGTAGATCCATTATCTCTCATTCTCACTCAGTAGATGCTCTGTTTAACAGTTTTCTGTTTAAAAAACTGTCAACTGTTTGCTTGTGAAATGCTCATTTTTTCCCCACTTAGACTTACTTTGCGTCCTGTAAATAGCGAATGCGCTCTTGGCGCGACGCAGCTGACTTTTAAAGGGAATGGGAGATGAGACTCTATTCTCAAAACACACCTATAACTCAATAAGAAAATAAACTCAACCCTTTTAGACCATGCGCCATGGCGCAAAGCAGATTTCCCATCCTTAAATTAGCAAAAATGCGTTCTGACACACACTGAAAGCATTTGCGCCCTGCGTTTTGCGCTTTGCGCGTGGACCGTCAAAATAGAGCCCTATAAGTTCAAATTTGAACTTAAAATATGTCAAATATGTAACGTATGTTTTGAAATATTGCAAAAATGGCCACTTTTCTGTTTATTTTTTTAACATTATATACACACACCGGCCACTTTATTAGGTACATCTTACTAGTACCAGGTTGGACCCCGTTTTGCCTTCAGAACTGCCTTACGCCCCATTTACACGGGGCGTCAGCTTTAACGCTTCCCATTCATTTTGAATGGGGACATCAGGCGTTGCGGAACTGCATTGTGTTGCATTTTGGATCCATTGGCGCCACTTCAGTGCCATTGCTCGCTGCAGAAGTTGGCACTTTCTCAACTTTTCAAGTGCCGACGGAAGCGTCAGCCAATCAGATCGTTGTATGCAAATACATTAGCTCAGAGAGAAGCCGATTGCTGACTAATTTCATTGGCTGATGCTGTAATGACGATTGCGTCAGCCCCAACTTCAGACACGCCCTCTGTCAAGCGTTGAAGCCCCGTGTGAATGGGCTGTTATACTTCGTGGCACAGATTCAGCAAGGTACTGGAAATATTCCTTAGAGATTTTCCTTCTATATTGACATGATAGCATCACGCAGTTGCTGCAGATTTGTTGGCTGCACATCCATGATGTGAATCTCCCGTTCCACAACATCCCAAAGCTGCTGGATTGAGATCTGGGGATTGTGGAGGCCGTTTGAGTACAGTCAACTCATTGTCACGTCAAGAAACCAGTCTGAGATGATTCGCGGTTCATGACATCCATATTTAGCTATATATGAACATAAAATTATAGCTAATATATTTGAACATTTGTAATTCCACTAGTCTGTGCAAAATATAAATATATATATATATATGTAAAAAGTACAATATATATGTACACTACAATCTCTGCAATATTTTTAAATATATGTTGTAAATCCAAATGAGCTTGTATGTTATATTGCATATGTATTTATGCAATTACCATATATTATTAGTTATGGGATGTAGGGATGCGCAATATGTATAGTTTCAGCATGGATATCGCAATGCACACTATATACTTGAACTTGTATGTCATACTGTATGTGTAATTTGCATATATTACCATATATCAGATCTCTGTGTCAGTCAGTTCCCTAATATGTTATAATGAATTTATTTTTCAGATTGGTAAACGAGGACGCAAAAGAGCAACTGTTGGTCACCATACAGAAAACCTTTAACTACAACAAAATGCAGTCCGGCCAAATTCTGCTCATGGTCCTTGAATGCATGAAGAAGAGGGAGCTGGTAAGTTTCTACAGTAATGTAAGGCATCATAGCGCAATAAACATCAACATTTTGGCCAAATTAAACCAGTTAAAGGGATAGTTCACCCAAAAATGAAAATTCACTCACTATATACTCTCCCTCAAGTGGTTAAAAACCCTTTTCTTATTTCTGGTAAACACTAAAGAGGATATTTTGGAAGAAAGCTGAAAACCTGTAACCATCCATAGTAGAAAAAACAAATACTATGGAAGTCAATGGTTGCAAGATTCCAGCATTTATTAAAATATCTTATTTGATGTTCAACAGAAAGACACTCAAGTAAAGGGGGAGTATGATGGCATAATTTTCCATTTGTTTGGACGATCTCTTTAAGACCAGCATTAAAGATAAAGCTGGTTTAAAGTGTTGTGTCTAAAATATAAGATATAATTTAGTCTACACAGAAATCATATAATAAGTGCGAGTCTAAAACTGTTTTGAATGTTTTGTGCAAACTTTCATCAATAAACCTTCCCATTCATTATTCATTTTGTCCTGCATCTTTCTTCATGTGTCCTATTCATTTGTGCATCTGTATTTGCTCCATAGTTGCTTTAATCAGGCACATCTCATCATACGTTAACATTTAAAGCATTGAAGAACAGTAGCGAGTAGTGCTTTACCTCATAAGTGGTTGTTGCGATTTAAGAGAGAGTTCACCCCAAAATAAACATTTACTCACTGTTTACTCTCCCTCAAGTTGTAAACTTGTTTATACGCCAAAATAAATTGTAATTTATGTAGGCTAATAATTATGGCTCATGATTGAGCCCACACGGAATCTGCGCGCGCAGATTTCTGCAGATTTTTAGCCCATCATTAATTCTGTTTATTTACTTGCGTAAATGTTTATATCTGAATTTATTCAGTTTTTATTAAGTAATTTATTACTTTTTATTTCATATATTAAGGTTTTAGTTATGATACTCTGCTAGATACTCCCAAAATAATTCCGCAGAAATCCGCAGATTTTTACCAAAATTCTCCGCAGAAATAGCAAAAAACGTCCGCAGATTCCGTCTGGCCCTGCTCATGATGAATTGAGGTGATTCAATCAAGTCAATAAGTTAAATATATTTACTTTAAATAAATGTAACTCTTACAGTACATTTATTAATGAAACCCCTGATATTTCGTTAAGCACTTAAGTCACCTATGGTATAACCCAATGCGCCATGAGCTCTGTAATGTCATTATATTTATGCCGCTGCAGCTTTAACTGAGGGTAAGTGATGTGCATTAATGAATAATATGATTATTTAAAGTGGTTAAATCAAGTTAATATACAAGTTAAATATGTTTACTTGAGTTTACTTGCATCTGAGCACATTCCCCCTCAACTTTTAGGCGGGAATTGGCGTACGCCAAAAACAGGACTGGAAATTTGCGTAACTTACGCCACTTCCTACACAAAAGTTGTTATCTATAAAGAACAAACTTGACAGGAGAATGTGTGCGGCTATAAGTAAATGTAACTTATATGTTTATTAATGAGACCCTATATCGCTATACACTCCTTCAGTCACCTACATAGGATAGCCCAATGCGCAATGAGCTCGAGTAATGTCATTGTTTATGCCGCCGCAGCTTAAACTAAGGTTAAGTGATGATGTGTATTGATGTATTAATAATTTATATGATTATTTAAAGTGGTTAAATCAAGTTAATATGCAAGTTAAATATGTCTACTTAAGAGTTTACTTACATCTGAGCACATTCCCCCCTCAACTTTTACGCGGGAAGTGGCGTACGCACAATACAGGACTGGAAATTTGCGTAACTTACGCAAAAACTTTTTCTACGCAAAAGTTATCTAGAAAAAACAAACTTGACAGGAGAATGTGTGAATGTGCGCAGCTGTAAATGTAACTTTTACATTTATTATTGAGACCCCAGATATGTCGTTATACACTCCTGCAGTCACCTATAAGATAACACAATGCGCAATGAGCTCGGGGAATGTCATTATTTATGCCCAACTAAATAATCTTTAATCTTTTTATCTTTAACTAAAGATAAGTGATGTGCATTAATGTATTAATCAATGATTGGATTATTTAAAGTGGTTAAATCAAGTCAATATACAAGTTAAATCTGTTTACTTAAGAGTTTACTTGCATCTGCGAACATTCTCCCCACAAGTTTGGCGCCATTTTATAGTTCACAATTTTTGCGCAGGTAGCACACTGTAAAAAATAAATCCGTAAAATTTACGGTAAAAACCGGCAGCTGTGGTTGCCAGTACTTTACCGTTAAAAACACGGTACAAACCGTAAAAATAATTTCTAATTTTTACGGAAAACTACCGTATTTTATTAATTTATAGAGGTAATATGTCTGTATTTTGAATGACCAACATCTACACATCTTTTGTTACAGTTAGACACGTTAGCACACCCACATGCAGAAGGTGAAGAGGAAATTACATAATGAGCCAATGCTTATCACAATCAACTTTTCCCACAAGCAGAAAAGACTATCGGCATATAGAAGGTGCTCAGTGTCATTCACACAGCTACTAAACACCAGTATGGTAACACGCATAAAATTAAAGTCATGAAATAAACATTGTTTATCAACATTAGATGTAATATAAATCTCTAATGTACATAACTGATGGGGAAACAACTAAAAAGATCCATATTAATGTCAATAAAATGCATAAAAAGTTATGTGCCGTGCAGGGAATTCTGGGAAAGTAAATTTACGGTTATTCGCTATATATATTAAGGAAACATACCGTTAACCATTTTACGGATTTGTACTGTAGCATTTTAACAGTTTTTTTTACTGTTGAAAACACGGCCATTTTTTACAGTGCACTAAGCGAGACTGGAAAATTCCGACACCACTTCCTACGCAAAAGTTATCTATTACTTGTCAGGAGAATGTGGGCAGATGCAAGTTTGTTACCCCAGATATTTCGCTATACACTCCTCCAGTCACCTATAGTAAAAAGCGCAGAGCTTGAGTAATGTCATGCTTTATGAATGCCGCTGCAGCTTTAACTGAGGGTAAGTGATGTGTATTAATGTATTAATCAATTAAATGATTGTTTAAAGTGGTTAAATCAAGTCAATATACAAGTTAAATCTGTTTACTTAAGAGTTTACTTGCATCTGCGAACATTCTCCCCACAAGAATTGGCGAAATTTAACAGTTCACTATTTTTGCTAAATTTTTGCTATTTTTGCTAAATTCCGACACCACTTCCCATGCAAACGTTATCTATTACTTGTCAGGAGAATGTGGGCAGATGCAAGTTTGTTACCCCAGATATTTCGCTATACACTCCTCCAGTCACCTATAGTAAAATGCGCAGTGAGCTGGAGTAATGTCATTATTTATGCCGCTGCAGCTTTAACTGAGGGTAAGTGATGTATAACGTGTATTAATCAATTAAATGATATTTAAAGATGTTAAATCAAGTCAATATACAATTTAAATATGTTTACTTAAGAGTTTACTTGCATCTGCGAACATTCTCTTAACTTTGGCGCCATTTAAAAGTTCACAATTTTTGCGCGGGAAGTAGATCTAAACGAGATTGGAAAATTCCGACGCCACTTCCTACGCAAAAGTTATCTATTACTTGACAGGAGAATGTGGGCAGATGTACATTTGTTACCCCAGATATATCGCTATACACTACTCCAGTCACCTGTAGTTTAACCCATTGCCCAATGAGCTCGGGGAATGTCATTATTTATGCCACTGCAGCTTTAACTGAGGGTAAGTGATGTGTTTTAATGTATTAATCAATGATACGATTATTTAAAGTGGTTAAATCAAGTCGATATTCAAGTTAAATCTGTTTACTTAAGAGTTTACTTGCATCTGCGAACATTCTCCCCACAAGTTTGGCGCCATTTAATAGTTCTTTTGCGCGGGAAGTAGCACTAAGCGAGACTGGAAAATTCCGACGCCACTTCCTATGCAAAAGTTGTTATCTGTACTTGACAGGAGAATGTGGGCAGATGTACATTTGTTACCACAGATATTTAGCTATACACTCCTGCAGTCACCTATAGTTTAACCCATTGCCCAATGAGCTCGGGGAATGTCATTATTTATGCCACTGCAGCTTTAACCGAGGGTGAGGGATGTGTTAAGCATGTAGTAATACCGCCTCAGGACAGCGTATAATCTGTAGCTATACATCTGGATGCGGATCAGTGTAGTGCCACCTGTTTCATACGTTCATTCATTCCTGAAAGTGAGCAGATGGAGGAGGGAGGGAGGGTGGATCCATTTCTCTCTAATCCACGCTGGACATCTCTGTTTTAGCAAGATCACATCACGTCGCCTGGCATTAGACGGGCTAATGGCCTCCACAACTGCGGTTTTATTTTTACATAAAGCGAGATGTTAATGTATGTTAAGGGCCAGCCTTTCATTTGTGTAGATGTTTAGGACGTAGACCTAAATGGGCATTAAATGTGGCTGGTGATATGTAGATGATGATAGCAAGCAAGCTAATGCTTTTCACAAGCAACATACTGTACACTCACCGGCCACTTTATTAGGTACACCTGTCCAACTGCTCTTAATGCACATTTCTAATCAGCCAATCACAGGGCAGCAACTCAATGCATTTAGACATTAATGGTCAAGACGATCTGCTGCAGTTCAAACCGAGCATCAGAATGGGGAAGAAAAGGGGATTTAAGTGGCTTTAAATGTGGCGTGGTTGTTGCTGCCAGACAGGCTGATCTGAGTATCTCAGAAACTGCTGATCTACTGGGATTTTCCCATTATCTGATGGCTACATCAAGCAGGATAACGCACCATGACCATGTCATAAAGCGCGAATCATCTCAGACTGACTTCTTGAACATGACGATGAGTGTACTGTACTCAAACGGCCTCCACAGTCCCCAGATCTCAATCCAATAGAGCACCTTTTGGATATGGTTAAACGGGAGATTAGCATCATGGATGTGCAGTCGACAAATGCCGGCTATCATGTCAATATAGAACAAAATCTCTGAGGATTAAGGCAGTTCTGAAGGCAAAAGGGGGTCCAACCTGGTAGTAGTAAGGTGTACCTAATAAAGTGGCCGGTCCACTGAGTTTGGACACACTGCAAAAAACAACTTGCTTAAAGTTTTTATCTTGCTATAAGTCAAAATATCAAAAAGTATTAAGTCAAGAAACATTTTCTGGACAAGTACAAATATTGATTGGGTTTTCAGAAATAATAATACATTTAAATGAAGAGATTTTTTCCTTAAAACAAGCAAATTTATTTGCCAGTTGGGTCTGAAAAATAATCTTGTTTTAGGTTTGAAATAAAAATATTATACTTGATAATTCAGCTTGTTTAAAAAATATCTTTAATTTGTAAACAAAACAGTATTTTTTTATTTGCAGAGAAAATGCCTCATTTATTTTTCATATTTTACTAGTTATAAGACAAACACCAAGTTAGAAAAGCAATGGTTTATTTATTTTTGTAGTCTTGATGTAAAATATGAGCGTTCT